ACTATTTTTCAGGAATTATGGTTGTATCAAGCATGGTAGGTGGCTTAAAGAATCATACTGAGAAATTGAAAAAGTGATATTATTCCAGATATTAAGGAATGGCTTTTAGAAACATGTGATCTATCTGTTTTGGAAAAGGCAATATTTTCTACTAATCAAAGGATGAGGCGATAAGTATGGCACAGATTTTGTGATATTTTATAATAATATTCTGTACTGATCATACAGTAGTATATGGTATTTATACTACTACTAGATTTTTTCCTTTTCGTCTCTTAGTTTGGGTTTTTTTCCTAACCTTTTTTTAGTTATTTTTTCTTTAAGTTTAAAGATTGTTTTGTTAATTGTGTGTTTGTGTGTGTGTTTTTTAGTGTAGTTAGGTGTTTTGTCATTTTTCTTATAATTTGTAAATAAAATTTATTTTTTAAAAAAGTTCTGACTTTCACCAGGAGGGTGGAAGAGTGTAGTTGGATTAGTAATGGCAACAAATTAGAGCAGGACAAACAATTTAATCACTTAGGGATAACATTCCATTCATCTGGGTGGAGAAATGCTAATTTAGATTACATATAACACGCTATGGCCATTTTAGCTTTTTTCTATACTGAGGGAAGACAATACATTCCTTACCGCACTGAAATTATTTGAGGCAAAACTAAAAGCATGGCTGTTATGATATGTAAATGAGTTCCAACTTCATAGAGAGGGAGCAATCAAAATTGTTGAGGTTACTTTTGCAAGCCACCATTTTATTTAGAAAATGTACATGGCACCCAACTTAAATCAATAACTCCAGGCAAATAACAAGAATACAAAAACCAATTAAAAACAAAATAGAACTGTACAATTAAAAGCAATCATGATAGAATATAAGAGCTAGGATACATTACGAACTACTCACAACCCCCAGAACATGCATTTCTGGCTCCACTAGCAGCATAGCCCTAATGCTTGAGGCTAAAGACAGCCAGCAGGGTCAGAGCCATCCAAATGCGTTTCCAATGGCGCTCTAAAACTGAAATTAGAAGTTACAAGACTGGAGGCCCAGATTTGGATCACTATTTTTAGTTACCTGTTGGAACTGATGTTTAGTACAATCTGTCTGATAAGAAGAGAGTTTCTGTTCTTCATGGAAGACAGGCATTAAAGATGCATATGACTATTTATGGTTTTTCCTGGGATGTTTATGACTGTTGGGATACCAGCAAGCTAGGAAGGTTGTGAAACAAAAGATTCTGGATATAAAGTGGCAGCAAGCAACTAGTTCAGACCCAAGATAACTTAAATTGTCAAAATACTCCTATAGTACTCCTCCAGCTGACAAGTGCCAGAAATCACAGAGCATTTTCCTTAGTCCGGCTTGATGCACTACCTTCAGCTGCTCTTGGCGGTAGATATCTTAAGACCCCCTCTTCAGAATATTTACGCTTTTGTGGGTCTCATGCAAGAGAAGATCTAGCCCATTG